CACACACACACACACACACACATACACACACACATAGACTATTTTGTGCAAAATTTAAGGGTTTACTACACAATCTCCAGACTCATAGAAACTAGTTTTATAATGCTATGCATAAATGAGACTTATTTCAAATACACCCCGTCTCCTTATTTCACCAAAGCAGTATAAAATGAAAACAAATACCGGTACAAAATATAAATTTAGAAAGTCGATATAATTGACGTAGGACTGAACTTTGCTTACAGAACTGCTGAAACAAAACTCTAAATCACTACAGGTTAACATTGCACAATAAATACATCAACAGCGTACTCTACTGAGGGAACATTGGAATCAAAAGGACTAGTGTTAAGGAGGTATAAGTATGTTACAATGCTCATTGCTTCAAGGAATTACTTTGTCTTAAGTATGACTTCACTGATACACATTTATATTGCTGTAATTACTCTGATTACTGTAATTGGTTAATGTTATTCTATTTGGTTTCCAATGGCATCCTTGTATGCCTATTTATGATCGTTGCATCTTAGCCTATTGAGTGTAAATGTAGTTCGTGGGAAATCGTAATATCCACCTTTCCATTTTGAAGAACATTTCAGTCGCCAAACTCTGACGGCCATTTTCTTGCTAATTTCACCTCTGATACCAGGCAACCTCCATCACATTTCATCTCAGATATCTTTATTTCAAGATGATACCAATAACACCATGATTATAATGCCGAAGATCTGACTAGCACCCTATTCAACCACGTTGTGCCACATATAGGAGTGATCCTTCAAGAAATACGTCTGCTAAACAATGACGTCATCTTTTGGGGAATGGTCACTGATTGGGTACTGAAAAAGCAGCATTTTGTTCTGATAGCAATACATATCTGAATACAAGATCACATCTTTACAATTAATTGTTTTTGTTTGAAAGAAGTCAGCGATACTTGTTGTTTTCTTCATATGTGAGGACTTCCTGCTAAACCTAATGACACGTTTAGGTGTAGTATGGTTTCAAAGCAGACTTTGGGAAAGGCACTTTCCACAAATTTTCCTCACTTCACCCAGGTGGAAATGGGTACCCGACTATTGACAGTGAACGATCTTGTCAGTTTGGTAGTGTTTGAGCGCGTGAAATCCGCAGCTTGCACTGTATGCTTCCGCGGAAGCCGAGAATGTTTCTGAGTGTTGTCAGAGGGTCTGCTGGGGTAAAAATGTTTGTAAAGCGCATAGAGCATGCTCTTGAGCGTGGATATGCGCTATATAAATGCAATTATTATTATTATTTTTTATTATTATTATTACTTTACAACGATAATTTTTTCCACAGGGATCTTGGAAGAACCTCCCTCAGATGATGATTTGAAATCTGTGAGGAGTGCCAAAAACCTTTACCAGTCTTGTCGTGACCTGGGTATGTTCTTAGTGTAAAGGAAAAATCAAATTAAAAAAAATCTTCTCATAGACGTGATCTTTCGAATCCTCGTTCTTGGTATGACAGTTGAGTGAGGCCACTTGGTCACTAGAGAAGTCATTTGAACATTGTTGATCCGGATCTATGTTGTAAACTGATATGAGTATGGTATATACAAAAAAGAAAATAACAATCGTTATGGTGATAGAATATGATTTATCTCACTTACGAAATTGCCAATTGTATTCACGCGTTGAAACTTGTGATTTCAACTTACGATCAACCACCATAACTGATGCTATAAATTGTTACTGTGTCCTTTAAAAAAATAATTGTTGTTTATATTTCCAAAGAGACGATAGACAAACGTGGCGACCAGCCCTTCAAGGACTGGCTCAAGGCCAAGATGGGAGACTGGCCTCTGATCTCTTCAGCTTGGAACGATGCCACGTTTGATCTTACTGACGTCTTGATCAGAGCAGCCAACAAAGGGTCTCGCCCTCTGATAGGACTCGTAGTAGATCAAGACTTCAAAAACCCGAGCGTACACATATTGACGGTGAAGAAAACTGTTCTGTTGTATTGACCAAAAACATTTATCGATTATTTCATTAAAAACGCACCACGGTACATGATGGATTGGGCCATAGAGTTACCCCCCTTAACATAGAGTACATCTATGGGTTGGGCTCTGCAGATTGGGCAAAAAGCCAGACGGTCTATTGTTTGTCTATAACGTTACTTGATTATGGAGGGTTGGGTTGAACAGATTGGGCAAGAAGTCTATTGTTCTCTATGACGTTACTTGATATGGAGGGTTGCAACAGAATTATCCACGAAAATATGCTATAGAATGAAGAATTTTGTTATGGTTGAAATACATTATAAAACTTTTAATTGTCAAAACATTACCTATTTTCTTAAGGAAATTCCCGTGAACAGTCATGCAATTTTTTAATCGCCGCACGTGTAAATGCATGCAATCTCTGCAGAAAAAAAAATGACTCAGAAAGTTTTAGATCAGAGTATCAGAAAGGCTATGACTTTTGAGCCTCCTGTCACCACGACTGACATTTTAAATGTGATCAGCACTTTTTTCATTGTCGTCAGGCAAGTAGAGACCTCCGACTCTCTTGTCGTGCATGCTCCTCTTTAAAAATAAATTACACCAGTGGCAGACCATTGCCCTTTTAAAACGTTCTCACTATAATATACACTTTCAAGATCTGCTTGAATTTCGGAGGGATTTCCCATGTTGCATGAAGAGACCAAATCACAGCTATGCCATGAAGGCATCCCATGAGAAGGGCATTTCGATCTTCTGACGAGGTAATGTTGCTGTGTTTTTGGGGGGCCCAATATACGTTACAAACGATTGATTGCTTCAAACTGCTGGATCGAACAAAACGAGGTTATGGTTGTATCTAGATCTAAACAGTCGACAACGAGTATCGAGGGCCAAGCTCATGCTGCTAAGAGATAGAGTGGGTTCCCCTGGCTCAGAGGTGATGGGTACATAATTGCTTCTTAGATTTTGTATTGTTGAATTTGAACTGATAATGACTAAATTGCTTTCCCTAGTATTTAAATTTGAGCTGGCATTTGCTTACAGTTTCTATTGTTTCGACTTTGACTTGGTGGATATTAAATTAATTAAACGATTTTGATACCTGAACTTTTATTGCTGTGAATGAACTCTCTTTCTTGATATGAAATAAGGAAAAGGTGCATTCTTTTTAAGTGGCCACTACCTCCTCCAAACACAAACACACACACATACACACACACACACACACACACACACACACACACAAACACACACACTCTCTCACACACTCACACACACACACACACACACTCACACACACATACACACAAACACTCACATACACTCTCTCACTCTCTCTCTCTCTCTCTCTCTCTCTCTCTCTCTCACAACACACACACACACACACTCACACACACTCTCTCACACTCTCTCTCACACACACACACACACTCACACTCACATACACACACTCTCTCTCTCTCTCTCTCTCTCACACGCACATGCACACACACACACTCACTCACTCACACACACACACACACACACACACACACACACACACACACACACACTCTCTCGCACACTCACACACCCTCACACACACACACACACACACACACACACACACACACACACTGCCCCGCCTTCCCAGACACCCACCCCCTTTCCCCGCAAAAAGAAAAGAATCCATTTAAAATGATTCAAGCTTATTTCTTTTTTAAACAGTTGGGCCAACCTAGTTTTGGCATGCCGAGTCGGAAGTCCTACCTGGTCCCTCGAAATGACACAATGCTCATGGCCTACCAGACATTCATCTACAATGTGGCAGAGACCCTGGGGTTTGCCAACCCCGACACAGCCCAGCAAGATGTGAAGGACATTGTGGATTTTGAAATAAAGCTGGCACAGGTGAGGATTTAAAACCTTTACCATACGTTTCACACAAGAGTTCCTAGAATTAAATCACTTTGGAATCATTACTCATGAGACATTTCCTTGATGATAACTTTAAGTATTAGGGGTACGTTTTTAGCGTTTTTTGGAAGTTTGATAGCATTTTTTTGTTGCCCCTAAAGTATCAGTGTGATAATTGGGTGTATTTGGATTTGATTTATGAATAAAATAGTGATTAAAATGTACCGTTATTACTATTTTGTCCTTAGTAGATAGTATGAAACTAATTTTTGGCTACAATATAATACTATATTACAACAAGCATAATGATTTGTTACGTTTTGCTTTGTGACATTTACAAAATACTCTGTCACTGTCAAATGGGATAGGCCTACTTATTGTATACCTGCACCACCTCCCCCAACCAGATTTCTGCCTCTCAAGAGAAGAGACGAGATGCAGAGAGCCAGTACAACCCGATGACCTTGGCTGAAGTACATGGGAACTACAGTACGGTTGGTACATCATTACGTCTGTGACAGTAGATATAGTGCTTTATTTCATACTGGGTACGTAGAACGCACTGTTTGAACCACTTTCACAGCTCTTTCCAGTGATCAACTCTCTGACAAAAGGGTTCAGAACATTTTTGTTTCAAAATATTGGAGGGATCCGAAATGCATTATGCCCTTTCAAGTTACACTCATCTTCAATAAAGAAACTATGTCAAGCCCACATTTTAGACAAACGTCTTAAAATTAGTTTTTTTTTGCGGGTAAATTAAACCGAGAAAAGAAAATAGGACATTATTTAGGCTGTGGTACTTTAAAGCAAATTCAATAATATTGCAGACAACAGTGTGCAACACTAGAACTTAGAATGAGATTAGGCAACAATTAATGGTGGGAGTAGATATACTTTGTGGCTTTAAAGTTTTCTCTTCATTGCTGTGCTATTATTTCGTCCGTAGATACTTTGTTGTCGACAGCAATGTACACATCTGAATTGTTTGTACCCATCTTACATGCTAAAAGTTTGTTTAGGTTGTTTTTTTGGTTTTTTTTTAAAGAAAAAAGAAATTTGGGCAAAGATTTGAATTCTTTATCAATTTACCTATAGTAATTTGGTAATAACCAAGTCTCACATAGTTACCAAGTATGCATGTCGTTATTGGTACAGTTCCTACAATTTTTAAGTGCCTTGTGGTTATGCTACTAGACTTAAAATCATAAGATTGTAGGTTCGGAGGTTCGAGCCACAGCTCTGTCCGATGTTGTGTCCTTGGGAAAGGCACTTCACATGAATTGAGTATTTGGCTTGGTCCTTTATGAAATGGACGCTAGATTCTGAGGTCCCGACTCTTAAATGACCAAACACCGTTTCACCATTTCACACTTTTCACGATCATCAGAGCCTGTTCATCCTTTTTTGTTCATTCTTTACTGACGTTTATTTCAAAACAAAACAGGCAAAATTCGACTTCACGAAGTTTGTGACTTCATTGCTGAAAACACCGGAAGTGGGAGTCTCAGACGTGACAGGAAATGAAATCATCATTAACTTCGCCCCTCAATACTTTCGCAAGTTCGGAGACGTCATCAGCCGCACCCAGAAAAGGTAACATACGTCTTCACACGCTCATTTTCTTAAATCTGGCATTAATCACATTCATATTCAGCACGTACTAGAAAAGGCAGAAAAATGAAATTTCAGACTATATCAAATGAAAGTGTTTATGTGGCAACATTGAGGTCACTGTCATTACCATTATATTTTTAATAACATCGGCTCTTTTTTGCTTTCCTCGTTATAAGACCAAACAATGGCATTACCTTAGAACCATGCTTATACACTCCATGAGGTGAACAGAAGGATACGTGCTGCTTGGAACTGCTTTGGAAAATACAGGGAAATATGAATAATATATGTAATATATATATGCATATATATATATATATATATATATATATATTCTAGTAAGTGTTTTACGGTGGTCGCAACTGCATAAGGTCATATGAGCGTGTGGGACGCATTATACATTTTCAGTAGGTAGAAAATTTTGAATTTTGTCCGGGTGGCCGTCAAAGCCTGCTCTTGTCGATTTTGGACAACCAAGGGATCTTTAACGTGTGCAACTTGCATCGCTCTTGTCCGTGAAAGCGAGGTGTAGATCTTTTCTACTAGAAGATCAAGGGTGTGGCTGAACGACAGCAGTAAGGAAGAGCCAAGATGTTGCAGTATAAAGACCGTGGAAAGAGTCAGGAGCGCAGAGGAGGGGCAAAAGAGGTGAGGGGGTGGGGACAGAAAGTGGGGACAAAGCAGACGACAGAGCATTGCTAGAACAGGAAAGGAGATGAAAAGAGACATTTTAAGAGAAAAAACATTTACGACGCCCTCCGGATTCGAACCCGCGACCTATTAATGAGAGGCGAACACCTTAACTTCTTGACCACAAGGAAAATATTATTTCAAAAGCACAATGTGCCGATATCACTGAAAAGACACGTCTTCAAGGAGTGCATTTTCCTTGGCAATAAGCTTTGGAGGCTATAAACAAAAAATACCATTAAGAAATTAAGTTCAACACAAAGAATAATGGGAAAGAAGATGCAGGGCATAAGATTATAAAATCAAATAAACCACACAAACATAATAATACGGAAAAACAGGTTTGACAGATATCCCTAAGTGTACACTCTGACAAAAATAGAAATTGGCTGGCAACATCAGCATAGTGAAGGGCAACAGATGGGCAGAAAGATGTACTGGAAGGGGTTCAAGACCGGGGAAGCGATCAGGAGGAAGACCAGAAATAAGATGGCAAGCCGACATCAAAGAGCAGACGGGAACAACCTGGACCCAGAAAACATCAGACAAAACACAGTTGGGAGGGGGGGGGGGTCGTTGTTGCAGGGCTACATCCTGCAGCGGACGAAAAACGCCTAGAAAAAAACAGGCATAAAGAATGGTCATAAAAATCTTGAACGTTACAATGTTCGAATATTAGTTTGATTGAACATACAGCAGAAAAGGTGAAATATTAATCATAATATTACATAATATTTGTTGAACGTATACTTTTTCTGTATATCATATGCTCTGACTTCGTTTACTGAAAAATGTCTTTTTAAAAATTTTTCATAAAAGAAAAAAACAACAACTACTTTTTTGTGTGAAAACAGGACTTTAGCAAACTACGCGTTCTGGCGAGTTGCTCAGGACTACGTGGGAACCTTATCAAAACCCTACCGACAACTCGACTTTGAGTACAACAAGGTATGAGCTCGTCAACATTGATGCCTCTGCTGTCAGGTACTGGCACAGCTTCAATTTAAAGAGTGTGTCCACCTGTGTACTTCCCATATAAAGGTCAATGTATCTTTTCCCGTGTTATAATAATAATAATAATAATAATAATAATAATAATAATAATAATAAAAACCCAACATAATAATAATAATAATAATAATAATAATAATAATAATAATAATAATAATAATAATAATATAATAATGATAAGAGTTACTACTATTATTATTAATGATGCTATTTTTATCGTTCTAATTATCCCTTGTGGTCTAGTGGTTAAGATTCCTGGGTTTGCCCCTGTGCGCTTTTATAATTATGGCGATTCTTACTACTATGATAACACTACTAATAATCTTTGTTGCTTTCAAAAGAACTTTTAACTGAATAGCATGGCTTACTTTTTGAAGTATGAACCCAGTCTATAAACGAACAAGCTTTAAGACTGTACATGTACCAATACGTTCATAAGCCCAATAACTGATTCCACTCAGATGTGAAACAAGTTACCTTGTCATCTTGTGGGATGGTTGGGGGGGGATGAGAGGGGAGACGTCAGTGTTTTACCAGTGAATGGCTTTGGTTCGAGTCCCCAAATGCTTAACATGGAGTTACAACCATTCCAAATCCATTGCTTTCCTTAGGTCCTACATGGTATCACAAGAGAGCAGCCAAGGGACAAAATGTGCACGAGTTACACCAAAGACTCAGCTGGCTTTGTCATTGGCAAAACTTTTGTCGAGCGGCACTTTCAACCCGAAACCAAAACCACGGTAAAAGGAACGTTAGTGGATAAGAGCGGTGAAATAGGGGTTTATCAGGAGATCACATACTGAGGAAATATGGCCTTCGTAGGAAATATTGTACAAGCTAGGGGGAAAAGGATCGAGTGAGAGGGACAGTGGCTCAGAGAATGAGATAAATAGAGACAGAGGGGGATGGAGATGGTTGATTTGGGGTAGGAATTATAGATAGATAGATAGATAGATAGATAGATAGATAGATAGATAGATAGATAGATAGATAGATAGATAGATAGATAGATAGATAGATAGATAGATAGATAGAGCGGGAGAGAGAAAATAAAAGAGAAAAAAGAGAGAGAGAGAGAGAGAGAGAGAGAGAGAGAGAGAGAGAGAGAGAGAGAGAGAGAGAGAGAGGATGGTGAGAGAGAAATTGAGAGAGAGGGGATGGTGAGAGAGAAATTGAGACAGGGGGGATAGTGGAAAGAGCAGTCAGTGAGGGGGAGAGGGAAACGGAATAAAGACAGACAGAGAGACGTGCATAAATGTTCCGAGAAACAAAGAAATAGTGACGAAGTTTCCTCGTGGTGAGGAATTAATTAGTGCTGTACTGACATTCACGTGATTTTGAATATGGGAATCTATTTTCATGATTCTGCCCTAGAGAGAAATGTTCTTGCAAGAATTCAGGAGGCAAGTTTGCCAGAGCAGAAGTGGAGTCTTGGGATTTGGTTTGATTATTATACAATAATATTATTCTAGGCCAAAACATTTGTTTGTCTTAGTAAAGTTTTACGGCGCTCCCAACTGCTAAAACATTGTTAGTCATGTTGGTTCACTGACCGTGCGTAAAATGTTCATTTTTTAAATATACTTCACAGATCCTGGATATTGTCGCTGGTTTACGGTCTGTTTTTAATGAGCAAGTAGATGAAATCTCCTGGATGGACGAAGACACGAAAAGACTTGCCAAGGAAAAGGTGGACCAACTATTTCAGATTACTGAGCCTTTGACGCATAGTGAATTTTTTAAAAAGCAGTGTATTGCAATATTTTGATATGAAAACTGAACAAAGCATAACATTTAGCTTTTCGATAATCGTTTTCTATTTAGACCCTAACTACCTGACACTCTAAAGGGGCGGGCTGCATTCAGGTCATGACCCCGACATGCTCTCCTGTTGTTTTATCTTTCTTTGGCGCTGATCGAGGATCTAACCCTCGAGGTTTGAGGCCTCCACAGATCTTCAGTCCCGAATGTTAGTGCAATGCATTGGAGCCTCCAATAGAAATAGCAAATAGAATTATGCGAAGCTGTACAAATCTACAAAAACCTCTGGGAATTTCCTTATGTGCTTTCTGTTCTATTTATAGCGGGCCAGTTCTCTTTCCGTTTCGTCTACAGCCAGCTCGAACTTTTCTCTGCCATTTCTGAAATGCACTTGATGGCTGCCTTTCTTTTCTGGCCTCTGAGGCCTGGCTGCCCCGTAGGGTGAATATTGAGTCTGCGACAAACCCTCGTGCACCCACTGTTACAGTCCAGACCTTTGAGCTATAACCTTCTCTTTGGAATTGATTCGAGAGATCTTCATATTTTGCCAACTTAAACTGGTGCTGTGTATCTATCCTACTTTCGTATGGAACAGTCTGCTCGATTAGGAAGATCTTGGCATCAATTTCTGACCAGAGAATGGTATCTGGTCTGAGACCTGTATTGATCATGGGAGATCTACAGCCAATCCTTTGCTGATCCTGGAATGTTTCCACTCCTTGAGAAGCAAGGCACTTGTTTTCTTCCAACCCTTTTCTTTTCTTCTTCTTACCTGCTGTGAAGAATATCTGGGCTGGAGCTGCCTCGTTGTCGGAGTTGGTCTCCAGGCTGCAGGATATTGCGAGGACCAGCTCCTTCAGCACTCTGTTGTGCCACCACGTGTATCTGCCATCAGCAAGGGATACCTTACAGGAACTGAGGACATGCTCCATTGTCTGTCTCTCCTCCTGGCACAATGGACAGCAGGGATCTTCTTCCTTGCCCCACTTCACGAGATTAGCTTTCGGTGGCAGCAAGTCATAAATTGTGTGTGTGCCTTCAGAAAGGTCTAAGATGTCGGCAAAGCTATTTTTGGGCAACGGGGAGAAGAGGCCAAAAACGTACAAGTGCAAAAAATAAGTTCCATGAGAAAACAGGCGTTTAACAATTTCTTAATGACATATTGATAGGATTATATAATATTTTAAGTCTAAATATTTTTTTCAGTTTTTTAAAACAATATACTGAACTCCAAATGTAAAAAATGAGCAAGAAATTGAGTTTTTCCTCCAAACTTTGTTTTTACACCTTGTATTACAAAATATGGCATATCTTTAAAACTACTCAAGATATTTGAATAAATTAAAACACAGCGTGTTCAACATTGAATGTTTTAAAAGAATATGTCTTCATTTTAATAATCAATTTCCGACAACTGAGGCCTTTCTCAGGCACACACAAAAATGTTGCTCTGATGATGAAACTACGTGTTAGAGGTACCATGTGCCACACGTCGTTCCAAGTAAGGGATCTTTGCAGGGCATCGGCCCAGTTTGTCCATTGGTCCTGCTGTAACTGTTGGACTACTTTCTGGTATCTCTTCTTGTTCTCCGTATCCATCACTTCTTATAGCAACGTGTATCGCTGTTCTTTACCGTGTGCTATAGAGCACCACAGCATTTTCTCCCTTCCAAGTCCTTGTCTTCCATCCTGGGTATGGCCAATGACTTCTTTGAGCATGAGGTTATCTTTGGCATTCACCACGGCATCCAAGACTTTTCATTTTCTGCCAGTTCTCAGTGTTGGTTGAATTGACCTGACCACATCGTCCTGGGAATTCTCAGCCTCACAAGCATCCTTGTCTTGCCAGCTTTGTATACCTCCTCTATTGCCTTTAGTGGCGGTCTCAGCTTGGCCCGTTGGCAGTACAGGGCAACATCTGAAAGCCACAGAGGAACACCAAGCCTCTACCCGGTGAAGTTGTTGATCGTTTCCTCCATTGCTTCCAATGTGCTTGTGACAATTTCGTACATCATGAAAGGCCACAGCAACATTGGGATCAGCATGTGCTGGAGACACCAGACCTTACGCCTGCATGGTAGGGGGCAACAGTCAATCTTCTTCAACCCTCTTTCAATGATGAGTGCTGTCTCTTTCGATTGTCTCGTGTATCTCAGGGTCTCGTCATACCACTTCGCCAGGCTCTTTACGGGCTGTTCATATACGGTGGGGATTCGTTGGCTATCTACATGGAAATGGATGTGCTTGCTCACATTTCGCTTTCTAAGCGAGAGGCTTCTAGACTTCTTTGGCTTGAAGTTCATTCGGCAATGTTCCCTTAAGGGAGGTTAGGATTGTCGTGCCATCCATGGATGCCTTCAGAAGTGGCATTTGAAAACCCCCTCCAAGCTCCGCAGGGACTGTTTCGCTCTCAGCAGCCTTGAGTAGCACATGCATCGCCAAGACGAAGTAGAACTGGCCAAGCCACGCATCCAATTGCTATATCCACTTCGAGGTTGACGCACTCTGTTGTTATTCATTCGTGCTGAATCGTATCTTGAACCCTTCGAAGTAGGCATGGAGCATGTGACATATCTCTTTCGGATTATGGTACATGCCCAGATGCCCAGGGCCATCTGGATAATTTGATGGGGCACCAAACCATGCATTTGCAAAGTCAAGCCAGATAATATCGAGGTTACGTTTTCCTTCCTTTGCTTTCTGGACGGGCTCCCAGATCATACCGATCTATCTATCTATCTATCTATCTATCTATCTATCTATCTATCTATCTATCTATCTATCTATCTATCTATCTATCT